CACGATTATCCAATACATTCTTGGACTGCTTTGGAGACATTTTTTTTTTTCAAACGGTTGAGAAAGCTACTGGGGTGGAAGCGGTTCTAGATTTGATTTTAACAAATAGGGAGGAGCTGGTTGAAAATGTGAAAATGGAAGGCAGCTTGGGTGAAAGTGATCATGAAATCTCAGAGTTCATGATTCTAAGGAACGGTAGAAGAAAGAACAGCAAAACAGAGACAATAGATTCCAGGAAGGCAGATTTTAATAAACTCAGAGGCTGGTAGGTAAGGTCCCATGGGAAGCAAGACTAAGAGGATAAACAACTGAAGACGGTAGTTTTTTAAAGGGACATTATTAAGGGCTCGAAAGCAAACTCTACCACTGCATAGGGAAGATAGAAAGTATGATAAGAGACCACCTTAACTTAACCAGGAGATCTTACATGATCTAAAAATCAAAAAGGAGTAATGTAAAAAGTGGAAACTAAGATAAATGACAAAGGATGAACATAAGCAAACAACACAAGTATGCAAGGGCAAGATTAAAAAGGTGAAGGCACAAAATGAGATCAATCTAGCTAGAGGCATAAAGGTAACAAGAAGACATTCTACACATATATTACAAGCAAGAGGAAGACCAAGAACAGAGTAGGCCCATTGCTCAGTGAAGAGGGAGAAATAATAACCGGACATTTGGAAATGGCAGAGGTGCTTAATGACTTCTTTCTTTCGGTTTTTGTCAAGAAGTGTGATGATGAAGGAATGCCTAACATAGTGAATACTAGTGGAAATGGGGTAGGTTGAGAAGTTAAAATTAAAAAAATAACAAGTTAAAAATTACTTAGAAAAGTTAGATATCTTCAAGTCACCAGGGCCTCATGAAGCATACTCTAGAATACTCAAGAAGCTGATAGAGGAGGTAACTGAGTCTTTAGCTATCATCTTTGAAAAGTCATGGAAATCGGGAAAAATGCCAGAAGACTGGAAAAGGGCAAATATAGTGCCCATCTATAAAAAGGGAAATAAGAACAACCCAGGAAACTAGAGACCAGGGAAGATAATGGAACAGGTAATTAAGGAATTCATCTGCAAACATCCAGAAGAAAATAAGGTGATAGGAAACAGCCAGCATGGATTTGTAAAGAACAAATCATGTCAAACCAATCTGATAGCTTTCTTTGTTAGGATATCAAGCCTTGCGGATAAGGGAGAAGCAGTGAAGTGGTATACTTAGACTTTAGTAAAGCGTTTGATACGGTCTTGCATGACCTTGTTATCAGTAAACTAGGAAATACTATTTAGATGGGGTGACTATAAGGTGGGTGCGTAACTGGCTTGGATAACTGTTCTCAGAGAGTAGTTATTAATGGTTCACAATAATGTTGGAAGGGTGTAGCAAGTGGGATTCCACAGGGGTCTGTTTTGGATCAGTTCTGTTCGATATCTTCGTCAACAATTTAGATGACGGTATAGAGAGTACAATTGTTAAGTTTGCAGAGGATACCAAGCTGGGAGGGGTTGCAAGTGATTTGGAGGATGGGGTCATAATTAAAAATGACCTGGATAAACTAGAGAAATGGTCTAAGGTAAATAGGATGAAGTTCAATAAGGACAAATTGTTCCACTTAGGAAGGAACAATCAGTTTCACACATCCAGAATGGGAAGCAGCTATCTAAGAAGGAATACAGCAGAAAGGGATTTAGAGGTCATAATGGACCACAAGGTAAACATGAGTCAACAGTGTGACACTGTTGCAAAAAAAGCAAACATGTTCCTGGGATGCATTAACAGGAGTGTTGTGAGCAAGACACGAGACGTCATTCTTCTACTCTATTCTGCACTGATTAGGCCTCAGTTGGAGTATTGTGTCCAGTTCTGGGCACCACATTTCAAGAAGGATGTGGAGAAATTGGAGAAGGTCCAGAGAAGAGCAACACAAGTGATTAAAGGTCTAGAGAACATGAGCTATGAGGGAAGACTGAAAGAATTGGGCTTGTTTAGTTTAGAAAAGAGAAGACTGAGAGGGGACATAAGAAGACTGAGAGGGGACATAATTTTTCTCCCTTCTCCTTGTAACATCTAAAAGGATGTTACAAGGAGAAGGGAGAAAAATTGTTCTCCTTGGCCTCTGATGATAGGACAAAAAGCGATGGGCTTAAATTGCAGCAAGGGAAGTTTAGTTGGACATTAGGAAAAACTTCCCAACTGTCAGGGTGGTTAAACAGTGGAATGAATTGCTTAGGGGGATTGTGGAATCTCCATCACTGGAGATATTTAAGAGCAGGTTAGATAGACATCTATCAGGGACCATCTAGATGGTGCTCAGTCCTGCTGTGAGGGCAGGGGACTGGACTCAATGACCTCTCGAGGTCTCTTCCAGTTCTAGTGTTCTGTAATTCTATGATTCTGTACTACCTTACATTTCTGGAGGATTTTAAGTAGTAGCCCACCTAGGTTGCTTTGCAGGGACCTAATATGAAGGTGGCAAAGGCCTGGATCATGTTAACATGGTGTAGCTCGGTGGTCCCCAACGCGGTGCCCGCGGGGGCATTTATGTGCGCCCGCCTCGTCTGCATTAGGCACACCCTAATGCAGGGGCGAACTGCCCCGGCATGACAGAGCCACCGGGCTCCGCACTCCTGCACCCGAGCCGGTAGGGGCGCTGCCGGCACTTACGGCCCCGTCAGAAGACCCCACTGGGCCGAGGGACTCCAACAAGGAGGCCGGCAAGCTGACCCCGGCCGGGGAAGGTACCGGGCTGAGGGAAGGGAAACCGGGCATGGCTGAGAGAGGTGCAAGCATGCGCTGTCAACCCGGGTGGAGCCAGGGCTGCACTGGGGGTAAAGTCACGTGCAGTGCACCGGAGGGGGTGGTGCCACATTGGTGTGGCGTTGCGGCGCCGTTTTTTAAAACGGCCAGCTGTGGCTCGGGGAAGGAGGAGGAAGGAGATGTGCCGAGTAGGGCGTGGGGGGGCTAGAGGCAGGACAGCGGTGAGCGCACCTGGCAGGGTGGTAATGCTGTGATGGGCCGGGGCTGTGAACGCCGAGTGGCCCAGCTCTAGCACCTGATCTGGAGCCCAGGCTGCAGGGACTTCTGGGGCCCGCTCACAGCAGACTCCAGCCCTGAAAACTGGAAGGCAGAAGGGAGGGGGGGGGGGAAGAATAGGGGAAAGGGTGGGAGATGAAGGGGTTTGTGCTAATGGGAGGGGGGGCAGGTCAGGAGAAGAAAGGGAAAGGCACCAAGGGACAGGGTGGAGGAGATACAAATGCCAGGGGAGGGAGGCAAGTGGAGACAATGAGGAAAAGGGCAGGAGAGGAGGTGTCAGTGGGAGGGGGACAGGGCGATGCTGGGAGAGGAGAGGATAAGGGCATTGGGGCTAGAGTAGGGAGGTGTTGGGAGAAGGCTTGAAAGAAGGGGTGGGTATGAGGAAGGTGGGGACGGAGCAAGTCATGTGTGAGGGCACAGGGGAATGAGGGGAATGGGGGCAGAGAGTGGTGAGGGGGTGGGCATCAGGGAAAAAGAGGGCAAAGGAGGCGGAAGCAGAGGCAGTAAGGGAAGGGGGGAGGCACCAGGAGGGTGCAGGGGTAAGGGAACGCGCAGGTGCCAGGGAATTCTGGGGGTTAAACAGAATGGCAGACACCTGCAGGGGAGAGACCAGCACCAGAGGAGAGAGTCAGGGCAGGAGTGTAGAGGGAGGTGTTAGGAGAGGGGATGCGGAGGGGTAGCTCACATGATCAGAGTGGGGCTACTGGAGGAGTGGGCACAGGGGGGAGAGAAGGGCTGGTGGAGGGGGCAGGTCTCAGGAAGGCTGAGGGCAGTGAGAAGGGCAGGAGTCAAGACGGCAGAGGAGGGCGAGGGGTTGGGGGGAGCAGGCACCAGGGGAGCTGATGGAGCAAGGGGAGGAGACATGGTGGGGACGGGGAGTGTGAGATTTAAAGGTGCCATGATTTTTTTAGGGGGGAGAGTGCTTTTTTTGCTCAACATTTGGACATCCCCCCCCTTTTTATTAATGCAGAATTTTGTTTAAAAATTACAACATAATTAACATAAAAATTATCCAGCTAAATTAAGTTTCTATCAAATTTACCCAATTCGCATTTAATATGAAAATAGAAAATTCACATGGTAAGGTGAAAGAGTAATTGCTGAATAATTTAATTAATACCTTTTACATGTAAAATTACTTTTTTTATCTTAGGATTCATATATTAAATATGATGTTTTTCGTATTCTTTAATGTACAAATACAAAATAAGCCGTGAAAAATTGTTGGCGCCCGCCACACTCTTCTGAAAACATGAATGTGCTCTTGGCCACAAAAAGGTTAGGGACCACTGGTGTAGCTCCTACTGCATTTTAAATTGCAGAGCTGCAATAGGGTTTCATCCCTACCCAGCGTAAACAGGGACTGAGCCGGGCTGCCTGCCCATCCCGCAGCAGCCCCTGTCTGCGGGGGCTCCCAGCAGGGAGTTGGGACCCTCCGTGGTAGAGGCAGCTGTGGGGAGGAGGGGGTGTGTGCAGGTGGCACCGTAGATACGGTTCAGAGGGGAACTGGCTTTTAAGCTGGCTCCTCCCCCAGCACTGGCTCCTGCTTCCCCCCTCCTTGCTGCCTCTGATATAGGGGCAGCGAGGAGGAGGGGAAAATGCGGGTAGTCGACTAATCGACTACTCGTTTACCTCAGATGACATCACTTACAGTGCGTCAGTTGCTAAATAGTAGAATCAGTCAAAAGTACCTACATCTGGAAATGTAACAACCTGTCCAAAGGGGCAAAATATTTGTGAACACTGCGCATTGTCATTTTCTTGTACATTTTCCTTGTTGCCTCATTTTCGATAGCTCTAACTCACAGAACTCAAAATTCTTGAATAATTGCCCTGCCAAAAATGACCTGGCAGAAAGTCTAGTGATTGTAAAATTGTAGAAATGTTTCTTGAAAGGTGACTTTTGGATGCAATTACTTCCTTCTTGCCTCACCCCCTAATAATATACTGGCTTCCCTGTGCAATTTCAGGAAACTTTGAAGTGGGTGTTCATATCGCAGATGTGAGTTACTTTGTTGTGGAAGGAACCGCGCTGGATCACGTGGCCAGTGGAAGGGCAACTAGTGTCTATCTAGTGCAGAAGGTAAGAAGAGCTCTCTTTCTTCGGAAAACAGCCTCTCCCTTTTACCTCAAATGCATTATAAATGATCATTATCAGAAGCCTACAAGAAACAAATTCAACACATTGAACACATAATTGTATAAAATCGCCATATATCCAAAGAAGGTATTGCCTAAAACAAGGAGTACGTGATTTTGGCCTGCAGGAAAATGTAACTGGAAGCATCAAAGTAACTTCAGAGACAAGTGCTGCATTCTGAAGCAACACATCGTAATGCATGCATGCTCGTATTAAATTATTGACTGGGATGAGCTTAGGAAGCTTCCAGGCCAATCCTATGTCATGTTGTTATTTCTGATTTTTACAGTGAAATGTGCAGAAGTGCTTTCAGGCTACATCAGATGTTATAGACTCTTCTTGCACTGAAGAAAGCCAAATAAACTTCTTTCTGCCAATTTACTGTGTAATGCAGCAGCAACAGAGAGTAGAATTTTAAGGAACAGCATAAGGTTCATAAGAGCAGTTTTCCCTTCCTGATAAATTGGTCTACTGACAGAAGAGATGCCTTCCATTGTTGTTCCACATGTGTGCTCAGAAGAAAGGGCATCTCTGGTTAATATTCTTCTGCTTTAGTGTGCGTGGTCTGTAGTAGGACCTTTCTCCCATTCCCTCTTTATCAGATTTGCTTATGAGTCGTAAGGTGGCACCTTTAAATCTTTGTGGGAGCTTGAAAGACCATTGGAAACTAAAGATTTCTCCCATCAGTAAATGTGAATCCATGGCTAATTTGTCACAGGGGAAATTTGCTCTTGCTGTACTTGTGTCAGTCTGGCCAAGAGTGAGTAGGGGTTGGACCACGGTCTTTGTCAGAAGTAGCCTATGCATGCTAATTCCTTAGCATCCCAAGCAGGGCTCTGACCTTTCACTGTTTGCATGCTGTCTGGAAATATTTTTGGGGATTGTAAAATTTGTATGTGTTAGTAACACTTGCTTATCCCATATGAAATTGCTTCTGTAATTTCCCACTCTTGTGTGCTGAGCCCAGTGGCTCTGGAACGTTGTAACAAAGCGTGCTCATTAGAGAGTGTGTGTCTTGATCTGTGCTTATAAAGTGCCACATCCCAGCAACAATCCTCTGTTCTGCTTTGTCCACCAGCCACAGGGGATTCAGAACTATTTCTCTTATGCCGACAGTACAGTTATGTTGGATTCAGTTTCTAGTTGTTTATTCTTAGTAGCTGTTGTATAATTTCTTTCCATGATATTAGTTTTAGTCGGATTAGTGATAGAACCTAATTGTGGAGGATCGAAAGAAATCCATGGGCTTTTTATGGGCATGGGCATGCCACTTGGAATAGCAATTGGAACATTGCCTCTCTGGATCTGTGCATATGAGTTTCAAATGGCTAAACTGCTTCAGAATAATTCTCTCGCTGCAAGACACAGGGCAGAATGCTTCTACCATGTGGAATTGGAAGAATTTGTTTAAAGATCTCCACTTATCAGCAAAAGCCATCCTATATAAGAAGGCTGACAACAGAAATGTTTTGACTTGGGAATTAGAGATGTTAAATTTTGATTAATTGGTTATTGATTAGTCGATGGAATTTCCATCAAATACTCGATTAGTCGGTAAGGGGGAGGAGGGGCGCTTGCTATCCTAGCTGCGCCTCAACCTTTTAAATGTAGCAAGAGCCGCCTGTGTCTCTTACTACATTTAAAAGGCAGAAGAGCTGTGGGTAACACGGGGCAAGCGTGTTCTGACAGCGATGCTTCAGCCTTTGAAATGTAGCAAGAGCCCCGGTGGGCGCTAGCTAAATTTCAAAAGCAGAGGTGCAGCAGTCGGAACCCGGCGCGAGCTGTTTCCTTGTTGTGCCTCTGGCTCCCTGCCACCTGCAGAGGTCGTGCTGGGAAGAACCAGCTTTTAAACCAGCTCCCCCTAGCACTGGTCCCTGCTCTCCCCACTTGCTACCTCTCTCTGATAGAGGCAGTAAGGGCAGGGGGAAGTGACTAGTTAAGTCACTACTTGACTATCCAATAAGCTTATGCTTATTGGGTAGCCGACTAGTCGCATCCTTATTGGGAATGCTGCTACAGTGCCTCATGGGGGTTATGGTTTGGGTGCTGCATTCTCCATTCTGTTCTATGGACTGGGCTTTCCTGGTTGGACTATATCTCCCATAGTGCACCATGGTCTAGTAGGATGCTCTGACTCACCTTTCCAAGAGAGTGAGCCAGGGTATGTCATGGGAGATACAGTGCTACAGGAAGCCTCTCCTGTAAAGGAGAATGAGGGAATGAGGCAATCACCCTAAAACACCCAGGGCAGAATTTCCAAATCAAGATATTTTGTTTTTTAGGCTTTTTTGGTTTGCTTAACTAAAAAAAAAATAATAATTTTCCATGGAAAGCAGACACTTTTTACAAAAATAATTCGTTTATTTGAAAGCCCGGTTTCCTGTTGAAGAACAGTTGACAGAAAGATTTCACCCAGCTTTAGATTTCATTCTTTGTGTTTAACTACTCTTTCCACTTACATAATGCCTTTTCATGCCCTAAATCGTTATTTGGTCTCCAAATGCCTTGGTTTGTTAGCTCCAGGAGTGGTGTGTTATCCATGCTTTTGCCCTGCATGGATAGATTTTTAAGAGTGCCAACCAAATTTGGTATTTAAAATATGGAAGACTTCTCCCAGTGACTCTAACTTGGTAAAAAAAAGTTGATCAAATGTTGGATTTTAAATTCCCAATTTTACATGTGATGGTTATTAAGTCTAACAAAATAGCTAAAAATAACTGAGGGCCTGGACGCAAGAAGGTAATAAGAGCTGGTTTGAAACAAGATGGTAAGGTCACGCTCATAGAAAATAGACTTTCCTTTGATGGAACTATTCCATAAACGCAGCTGTGACATTGCCATGACTTAGAATAGTGCAAATTCTCCCAAAGAGGAAGTTAATTAAATCTACGTATTTAATTCTTTTAGCCATTTGTCCAGAAGACAGGTTGTGTAATGGCTAGCAGTTTAATAAAATCCAGCGGTTTAGAAGTAAAAGTAAATCAAGTGTTAAAAAAGGCAAGAAAATCCCTAAGTTTTCTCCCTTTTGGCACCTCTTATGGTGGTGTTATTTTAGGTGTGAAGCAACTCAAGTGAAAGGTCAGCCATAAACCCCTATCATAATTTTCTGGTCCTGTTTTATAATAGAGATCAAAGATTGGAACTGGAAGCCTGTCTACATGCTGAGTCCAAGGAGTTTAGACATTCACTTTTGACACCAGCAGGTTGTCAGGGTGTTGATATTTTGATAATGTCAAGCTGGGTAACAAAGAGTTGATCGAAATCTGAATTCATGGAAGTGTTGATACAAAAAAGAAAACGTTTAAGCAGAAATCTTGGCTCATAAACAAATTGCCTATTTCCTTTGAGTGCCTTTCACTGTATGAGTGATAGGCTAACTAAGCCCACCCCATTGTTAAATCTTAGGGTTCCCCTCCCTGCATGAGCAGAGAGCAGCTCGTGGAAGCTGAGACGACTGGGAATGTAATACCACCCTGGCAGATAGACCAAAGATGAAGGGGTGCTCGTGGAAGGCAGTAGTCTGACCATAGTCACCCTAAACCAATTGAGAGCAGTCAGCCAAGGCGAGGAAACAGAGGAATTAGATGGCTTGAAGGGACTAAAATTGCCCATGTGACTTTGTAAAAATCCCTGGGGGCTATTATTGAACAGTGGTTGTTCCTTTTGCTCATCATTGTGTTGATAGATTGATTCCCTCTGCCTGCTGATCTCTGAAAAACCTCGATGGCAATTCCCATTGATTCTAGAGCTGCCCTGGCTCACCTGCTGCTGACCTTGGCCAGTGAGCCCGTCACAGCTCTCGCAGATGTTTCTGCCTTTCCGAGCGAGTGGAGACTTTTCCAGGGCAGTGTCTATGCCCTCCAGCTATCCCAGCTCTCCAGGAATCAGTGCTAAACCTGGAAACTAGTTGTTGGATTCTGGATGCAGTTTATTTGCCCAAGAGGCAAAAGCTCAATTTTCTCAGAAGCAGGGTTGAACATGGTACTAGGTGAGCCTGCCAGCCAGAGGACCAGCTGCTGTGAACAGTGTATCAGGGCATGTTCAGTTTTATAGCCACAGAAAGACCATATAAAGGAAAACTTCCATCTTCAGTGTCTGTTTCTTACTCTGGCTTCACTAACTTGCCTGTTTCTCACGCTGGCTCCCTGCTGGCCAAGCTCTGGGCGTGCTGCGGAGGGAATCCACATCTCTGTGCTCTGGATCCCCTGGATGTCTTAAGCTTCTGGAGCCTCAGGCTGGCCACTGATCTGATTCCTCACTGGGGCTCTCTGGTTGGTTCACTTCCTGGGCCCTAACTCCGTCAGCTCCCCCTCCTTGGAAATGGAACTCTGCCCTGAGTCCCCAGGAATATCGCTGAACCTCCCCCAAAATCGCCCAGCTACTTAAGCATGTTCCTCTCCAAGAGCCCCACTGCAGAGGTTTAATGCTCCTGATTTGAGTTGAACTCTCTTAAAGGCATGCTGCAGTCACTCACCTGGCACGGTGTCTAACCCATTAATGCCTTTTTATACTTCTTACTATATATTGTAGAAATGTGTGTCTGTCTTGCTGTCTGTCCATTTGTCTGCGAGTCATTTGTTCAAGACCTCCTCCTAAACAGTAAGAGCTGGCACCACCACACTTGGTGTGCAGCTTCCTCCTTTTATTACTTAAGGTCAGGGTTTGGTTGTGCCAGGACAATGGGATGTGCCTGGAATTTGATTGTTTCTTTTAAAATGGAAAGGGGGAGAGGGGTTTGATAGGAGAGACAGTTATACTATAGAATGACCACAGGGGGGCAGCAAGGGGCCAGAGATGGGAACCAGGACAGCTATAACCTCGTTGGGCCAGCAGGAGGCAGGGATGGAGAGAGGGACAGCTATCTACTAGAGAGAGTTTGTCTGACTATATATCTCAGTCCCCCAGCTGGGGGACATTCACCCCTCCTCTGGTTGTGCCTGCTGCAACTGTAGCAGCCATGGAGAGGCGCGTCTCACCTGGCTCCAAGCTGCTACAGTGAGAGAGGGCTTGGGTTGTCCTTGAACCCCTCATCTCCAGCCCCACCCCAGAACAACGGCTTAAATGAAGAAAAACAAAACTCCTTTGAGTTAAAGGACCCAAGCACTGCTGGGCAAATCTTCCAGTACGTGTATATAGCTCAGCAGAGCGCAGCTCATACAAAACAGAGTGTTACGCCCAGTTGTCTTCCTGTCCCACCCTTCCCTTAGGGACTGTCGCTGCCCAGGAAGGCATCAGGCATGTCCCTTTGCCCTCACTCTGCCTCACAGAGCCTGTCTCTGGCTTCACTGATTTTGCTCAAATCCTGTCCCACGTTTACTGTCTCTCTTACCACGTGGCTTACTATTTACTCCTCCTGGCAACATTCGTTCTACCTTTTCCACCTTCCAGTTTCCACTGCTTCCACCTTCCCCTGCCCTTCAGAGGGACCAGCTAGACTGAATTTCTAAGGATTGAGCTGCTTTTTTAGCTTAAGCTTGGTTCTGTTGTTAACCTTGAGTAGTGCTTTAATTATAATCCGAGTTAAAGCACCTACCTTCCCCTGCTCTTCAGAGGAGTCCGAATTAAAGCTTTGCTGTGTTTTAAATCTTCAAAACCGCTTTTATACCATTATACTCTCTCGAGTCCGTTATTAATCTTGCTCAAGTACACTTAGGAGAGCTTTTTAAAAACAAGAGCATCCCTCATCATCTGACCTATATTTCATGCTTGGGGTCACCATGACTTGCATGCAAAGCATACCAGATCCTGGATTTCTCTAGCAAAATGTTGTTGCTTCAGTAGGGGATGAAGGAAGGGAAAAACTGTCATACACTAAGTATGCAAGTCAGGTACACTCGAACCTCCTTAATCCAGGTCTGTGAGCCGAGAATCCCCACGTGGCTCTCCCAGACCCCACAAACCCATCCGCTGCGCGCTCCTGCACACACTCTCCCTCCCTCGCTCACCCCCAGAACCTGCACCTCCCCATAACAGTTAAATACAACCCTAAATTAAGGATTTAGCTTATGGCATGTTGTACATGTACAGTAATCTATAATGGTTTAAAAACGAGTAGTCCTGTGGCACCTTAGAGACTAACAAAAAATATATAGAAAAAAAACCAACAATTGGTCTGATTGCACTTTATAGACTATAATACCATGTTCGCTTTTGTGCTGTGTGTTGACAAAACTCATTCTAAATTTATAACCTTGTGTTGTTGGCTTTTCCAGGCAGCATGGCAGACCTCACGTAGTATATCTGTAAATTATGAATTTACTAGGAGTGTTAACTTGCTTTTCGCCACTGGAATAACACAGCTGACGGCCTTTGTGTTGAGGGAAACGGCTTATCACAATCTGTGCCCTTTTGGCCTTCCCACTTGAACCAGCGCTGCTGATTCATGTTGAAAGTGGCTTCTGAATTGTCAGAAACTACAGAGATAACCCTTTGGCATGAACATGCTGTGCGATTAGAGTGGATTTATGAGCAGTGGTCTGGTGCCAAGTGACACATGTGATTAAATATTTTAGGGACTTTCTTCGAAAGCTAAAGGTAAATATGAAATGTGTACTTAAAAAAAAAAATACAGACTCAAATTTTTATGTCTTGTGTCTTTTGAGAACCCAGTTATTCATCATCTGGGTTCCAGATTAGGGATGTAAAATCCTGGTTAAACAGTTAACCAGTTAAACATAACTGATTAATCATGATCCTTTAGGTAGGAATGGGAACCTGGTTGGGCTGAAGTGCTCCCCCCCCCCCCCCCGGGGGGGCAGCCAGGCTGGGCCAGTCCCATTCCTCCACACTGCAAGCAGGGAACTGCTCCAGCCTGGCCAGGCCACCTGTTAACTGGTCACATCCCTATTTCAAATACAGCAGAACTATCTCTAAAACCTGTGGGTGTCAGGACCTGGAACGGTGCCTGTTAAGGTAACTTAGATAGTGATACATTCACCGTGGTGGTAGGATTTAACAGTAGAAATAAAACATGACCTTAAATATTTATCCTCTGAACAGCGGATTGGGGTTCCTCCTTGTCTAAAGCATCAGGCTTATTATCAGCCCTACATAAACAATGAGAACATGCACATTTTGTTTAGTGCATTGACTGTTTTTCAAAAGGGTCGAAGACGAGAGAGGAAATACAAAAATTAAACTTCAGATCATTAGGGTTTGACTTGCTACATGTCTGATGAATATGAACTTTGACACAGGTGTCACCTGGAAGATACCCTGGGACACAGCTCCTCACTAGTGTAAATCAGCATCACTGCAATCGATGGAGTTACATTGATTTACCCCAGCAGGAGAACTAGGTCCCAAACAGTTACTCTCGATTGTACGGGAGCATTGCTGGCTGTTCCCCTTTGTCAGGGAGCAAGGGGAAAGCGCACAGTTTACTGAATTTCTCACTCTGGCTAGGGAGTACAGGGACAGATGAACCTGGACCTGCCCCAGCCGGGGGACATGGCCCCTTCCCCCAGCTGTGCCCGTTGGAGCTGCAGTGGCCATCAACAGGCGCTTCTCACCTGGCCCCAAGCTGCTGTGGTGAGAGAGGGCTGGAGTTGTCCTCTTCCCCCGGGGCAGCCTACAACCTGGACCCTCCTCCCCAGCCCCACCCCAGAGCGATGATTTTAATGAATCATGGGCATTGTCCTTGGATTTTCCAAAACACAAAAATGAATTAAGGACCCGAGCAATGCTGGGTAAATCTTCTAGTTTAGAAATAAGTGAATTGATAGCAGCTGGGAGTCAGCGCCACAAATATTGATGGGACGTGGACTATTGTTTTGCAGATAAAATCCCAGCTAATGCCTTCTGTCTGGTAACCTGGAAGTGAGCTCAATAAAAATAAACATTGTTCCCTGTCTTGGCTTCTCAGTCGCCTTAGTGCATGTGGGCTAGTCATAAAACAGGCGCTTTTGTTTGGTGTTGTCCAATATCTCGCTGCCTTTTGACCCAGGCTACGGACGTGCTCTACAAGCTTTAGTAAAGCGTTAAGTCACCTCTGAGACAGAGAGAAGTTTTATAGCTCTTTTGCAGAGAGTACTTGAAGGCAAGTTAAATGACTTAGCTGGTATCAACCTACAGATGAGAGGGTAGGGAACAGAATCCGGGAATCAAGACTTCTCTGCTTTGGACCACTGGAAAACTGCCTTTCCCAGCTACGCTTCTCTGAGCTTTCCCCACCCCTCCCAGGGTTAAAGTGGCAAGAAGGAGGCTTCAGATGGCATAAAGGTTATAACTTGGAGAGCCGAAGAGATGCTCCTTTTAACTGACTCTAGACCTTTTCCTTGCTTTTGTTGGGGACCTGTGACGGGGGGTGGGCATTGGGGACCACAGCCAATGTCTGTCCTGACCCGTGCTGTCTTGTTTTTCAGGTCATCCCTATGCTCCCCAGACTGCTCTGCGAGGAGTTGTGCAGTCTCAATCCCATGAAAGACAGACTGACGTTTTCTGTAATGTGGAGAATGACTCCAGAAGGCAAGGTAACCCTGTGCATTCTGTCGTCTTTGTTCCTCTTGGTCATTCTTCATCCGCTGCCCTGGGCCCCACGTCTGTGAAGAGAGAGTCCAGATCATCAAACGAATAAGCCACTAACACGTCAGCTCAAGAATCTCTCCCGTTCTGCGAACAGTGTGTCCTGTGACTTGTAGAACCATTGATTGGTGCATCCTCATCGTGTAAGACGGAGAAGGATGGACGCAGGGGTATTGATGGTGCCTGGGAGAGAGTGGCTCTTAGGACTGTATAGTAATGGGGCACATCGTGGGATTGCCCTTTTTAAAAGACCCAGTTGTACCCTTTGAGGCTGTGCAATGTGTAAATGAACATCACCTTTATTTCTCATAATTTCAGGGATGCCGCTGCGGCATGTTATCATTGAGGGCATCAAGTGATATTTCACTCGTCTTCATGTTTGACTCATCGTGGAGGGCTGGGGGAGCAGTCAGCTATTTCTGAGCCTTCATATCTCTCTCTCTATTTACCTCCCATCCCGCTGGGCAGTGTAACAGTCTGCTCTTCGGTTGCTTTTATGGTGGCCGGGCCCTCCGAGACCTGTGACTGTGTCCCCCCTCCCTAAAGGGCTTTGGAAAACAGGAAGAGTTTTTTGTTTCAAGCCCAATGCTTTCCCATAAGTGTGTTGCTTTTATGCAGTGTACCCTTGTAAAGGTTGTTGGGGTAGCTGTTTTTTTGGGCTGATGTGATCCTCGGGTGATCTTTCCAATGCAAATTAGTTTTGTTCCACTGTAAATATCCCCATTGCTCCAGAGGGGCTCAGAATCTCCATTGGTAGGTATTAGCTAGGGATGTAAAACGTTAACTGCTTAACCAGTGGGCATCACCCTTAATGGGTGAGGCTTATCAGTTCCAGTTAACCAGTAGGAGCTGGAGCTGAAGCAACTCTCTACCCACCTTGGGCATAGGGCTGCTCCAGCCCTGCGGGGCCTGCTGGAACAGCCCCTGTCTGTGGCAGGCCCACCTAGTCTCATCCTCACCGCCTCCCAGCTGCAGCTGTTCTCCAAACGTCTTCAGTGTTGTAATTTATCTCTAGTTCTAGGCCCATCTCCAGCATTTATGAAGGGCTTAGACTATGGTTCGGGAAGTCTTCAGTTTTCTGTATCCTGAATTCTACTAGCTCAAAGCACCCTCTAATACTATGTACTAGTTGGCTCTTTATTTACCACTGAGTGCTCTTTGAGCATGCTGTCTGGCCTATAGTTCATGCAGCCCTGGGAAGTCATGATATGCCATCTACAAAGTGCCCTTTTCAAGGATCTGTGCTTTAACTGCTCCATTCTTGTCACCTGGATGCAACATGTTTCGAGAACTAAGCTGCATCGTGTGCGTGTAGCCTCTTACCGCTTGGATACGGATGCTCAGTTTTCAAACAATATTTAGCTCCAGCCAGTGCAAGTTTGGCCGAGTCGCAGTGCAGTGCCTTTCCTCCTGTCTGCTCAGGGATGCTGATCTCTGGAGTCAGGCTGCATTCCGGTCGGAAAGATCTCCGACATCAGAGTCCGCGCTTTCCTCTTGGAAGGCTCGTTCCTAAAGCCAGCGCAACAAACAGGTTTCTCAGTCTTTCAAGACTGAATGGAAGTTTGGGTCACTGGGTTTGAATACGAATTAGACAAATTAATAAACCTTCCTTTTTCCAAGATAAGATGCAACCGCAAGCCTTTTTCCAATGTGGCTTTTCTCCAGGAGCTTATCTTTGAGGTCAGGGCAAAGCACATCTAGTGCTACTACACTATGGTGCTTGTGTAGGCAGGAGAAATTGGATCTTTTTCTCGCTTCAGGGTTAGTAAGAGGTAAAGTCTGTCAACAGGGCTGTTCTGCTTGCTGAGCATGGCCTTTGAACTTGGATTTCTCTGTCAGTGGCAGAGAGAGCTGTAAAAAACGATGATATAACATGGAAAGTGGCTAGGAACACAGTGGCCTTATGAGCACCTTGTTGTTAGGCAGCCTACAAAACAATATTTTGATCTCAGGTTTATAAAGCACTGCCTGACAGCACCACTGTAGAGGAAGGGCTTGTCAGTAATTGCAGTGTTACCCCTCGTTACACAAATAAATCCCCAGTTAGTGTGTCTGCCAGAAAAATATCTATGGAGTCCCTACATAGGAGTGACTGATTTTAATAAGTCCAACAATGGCTGTCCTTTAACCCTTTCTGAACACCGGTGCCATCTTGTGGGGGTTGGAAATCACTCATTGTACGGGTTGAATCTCTCTAGTCTGGCACTCTCTGGACTGGCAACATCCATGGTCCGGCCTGATTTTAGTGAGCCGGATGGCCACTTCTCATGGGGGTGGCCAAGTTTCCTGGGGTCCCATAAAGTTTGTTTACAGCTACCAGACGTAGCTCTCAGTGTTGTGTGTGGTTCTTTAGATCTGATTTACCCTTCAATGTCTTCGAAGAGCTAGGGAGGTTAAACATCGGTTAATTGAATAGTCGAGTAGCCTCGTGAATTCTTATCGGTTAGTCGACTATTCTATAGTCTGGAGGGGCGGGGCCAGCAGCCAGCATGCTCCGGCCTCGTTCCCGAGGAGCCCTCTGCCACTCTGTGCTGCTGCCTCTATACCAGTGCAGTGCAGGGTGCCAGGCGGGACCCAGTTTAAAAACCAGCTCCCCTCGCAGACCAGCTGACTGTCACCCTGTGCTGCTGCCTCTGATAAAAAGGAAGCAGCGTGGGGTGGCAGTAGCCACTGTGCAGGGTATGGGGAGTCTGAGCTCCCAGACCCACTGTGAGCCAGAACTGAGCCTGCCTGCCTGCCCACCCGGCTCTTAATACACTTCAAATGCAGAGCTGCAGTAGAGGTAGGTCCTGGACCCAGCATGAGCCAGGACTGAGCCGGGCTACTGGCCAGCCTGCTAAAAAATTTACTGGCAAGTGGGGGGGGGAGGGAAATGTGTGCAGTCTATAGCATTAACCTATAAGCTTTTGCTTATTGGTTAATCGGTTAATTGACTGCACTATTACATCCCTACTAAGGATCCAGTAAGCAGTGGAAGTGTTGGTGGCACTGCTAACCAATAGTGACCTTCCATGATTCGGCAAATTCTCTGATTTGGAACTGTTCAGATCCCAAGGGTGCCTTTAGAGAGAGGTTCACCTGTATTATGTGTATTGTATGTTACAACATAAAAGCATCACAGCCATGCTGCCTAACCTGCCATTTGTGTAGCCTGTGAACTTTAGTGGGAGCCATGACGTGCCGTCTGCAAAGTGCCCTTTTTGAGGATCAACTGCTCCAGTCCTGTCAGCCAGTATGTTTCAAGCGCTGAGCTGCACCGTGTCCGTGCGGGTGCTGTGAGGTGTTCTGCAGCTGAGACTCAGCCTCTCCTCTGAATTCCACATCTGGGCACTGCACACAAACGCGCATGTGAGGGTCTGTCCAGTTTCATTTTCTGGGCTGCTTGGAACATACTGCCACTGACGAGGGAGCTGCTGGGGTCTGAAACACCTGATGGAATCAGCACTTCCCTCTGGCTCAAAGCCACTTCCCTTGGATCTAGATGCATTTGAAAGTGTTGACAGCAAGCAACCGTATGCATTCATGCGGGCAAAACATATCCAACATCTATTTCGATGTCTCTATGTATTTTTAGAGTTATTGAAGTGCACTGAGTACCAATTAAAAAGCACCCAACATCACAAGAATAGAAATTGCATTCTCCATAACGCACTGAAGCCAGCTCAGCTTCCTTCCTGGACTTAGGGACGGCAAATAGTCTCCAGAAGATAAAACAGGGGAATTCAGCACTATCTGGTAGTGGGGTTGTATGTTCTGACACCTGACCCTGAACGTGGCCAGCCTGTGTTAACACATGCACTGGTTAATCTCCTGTGGCTGTATCGCACTCTGTCTGATATTTCACAAAGCGAAGATTTGGCTTCTGCTTGTCAGTCATACAGAAGAGGTGAGATTATGATTGAACAGTTACATTTCAGGCAGCAAAACAGAAATTTGATCCATGTTGCTTCCTGTGAGGGACAATAAGACAATTCAGAGAAAAATGGCAGAAAAGTTTGCAGAGAAATCTTCTATAAACAATCAAGATCAGGAGTGAGTAGTTGTGCAATATGGTATAATAATGTCATTCATGAGGCAGTTGTTCCCAAGGTAAACCATTATCCAAACATCATTTGGAACCTACCTGTTTATATGCCTCATTTGTTATAGTTCCCTGTACTTTCCCTAACCATTTGGTGACACATTCTGTGTTCTGACATCTGTCTGAAATGGGATCTCTACTTAAGAGCTTATCTGTTCTTCCCTCTCCTGCTGCTCACTCCGGCCCTACTGGTACCGTACTGTGGTTACTTCAACAGCCAGGAGCTATGATGTCACAATTTCATTACCATGTGGAATTATTTTCAGATGGGGGACTGAGCTACAGGAACAAATGAACCTCTAAAAATCAAGCCCCCACTTTCAATCAAATTTTCTCAGTCATAAAAAGGGAGGGGAATTCAGTTATGGCATAGAAACTTTCCTTCTGGATGAATTGCCACTGGGCTTCTTATCCTGAATCAGTATTTTCAGAATTACCCGAGTCTAGGATACCTAATGCTTTCCGTGATAAAATTTGCCATGGGTTTTGAGATCTGAAGGAAATTCCTGACTTCTGTAAAATTTGCCAAACTAGCAGATTTGTGTAGTTTTGCCCTTGACTGCTCGTATTGAATCCTTCATTCATGTACAGGTTGAACCTCCCTTGTCTGGCACACTAGGGACCTGACCTGTCCCGAACGAGGGGATTTGCCAGACCAGGGAGGTCCCTCTCCTCATGGCATGCTGCCCAACTCCCACCAGACGAGGGCTCCAGCCTGGCTGCGCTGCTGCCCTGGCCCCTTGGGGCTTTCTAGCTGCCATTGGCAGCTCTGAAGCCACTTGGCTCTGCAGCCGGGACGCCATAGCCCCAGCTGGGGCTCAGGCTCCGTGGCTGCCTGACTGAGGCTGGAGCTAGAACTCCCCGCCATGCTGTGCCCTTCTCCCCTCCTGCAACACTGGGCTTCTGGATGAGTCTCCCGTCCCTCCTATCGTGCTCCTGCCCCTCCGCCAGAGCTCCCTGTTCCTGGATTTCATGGTCCAGGAATATCCATGGTCATGCTGGACCAGGGATTCCCGCTTAAGGGAGGTACAACCTGTACTGATAAACATCTAGATGTGCAGGCATAGCCGGATATAATTGTGCCTCCTGCTTATCATCTGTTTTATTTCTTGTGTTCCTCCATCTGTCTGTATCCAGCTGTTGTCTCTTGGGCTATACTTCAATTGTAAGCTCCTCGGGGCAGGACCATCTTTGTGGTTTTGTACAGCACCTAGCACAGCGGTGTCTTGATTCATTACCGGGGCTGCTAGGTGTTATGGTGATACACATAATAACGAGTTATAGGATGCATCTTATCCTGGAACTAAATACAATTATTACTGTAGTTGATTGCATTTATTCCCTTCTTTAAAGCAAAACTTGCCTGACAAAGCAAGCTTGAAACAAACTTGCCATTGCCACCACTTGTTTCATTACTTGGAGCAGAATCTTTCCAGGTCCACGAGAAACCCCTTGGTTTGCCTGATTAAAATGTGAATTATTTATTTTTCATTAACCTGCTAATTGGTTTTGTATTTTTCATTAACCTTCTTGCCTTTTGCCCATGGCATAGAGTTTAAAGAGATAATGCAGCATCTTAGTAACCCTATAGGAAGTCGCCGTGTCTTTGGATAGGGAGGGTTTTGGTCCTTAAAAAGACCATTAGAGAAAATAAAACACCCTACAAACAGAAGGGAATGTGTAAAGTGTCTTTGCATCTATTAAAAAACAAAACAAACTTTTCTCCCAAAGTGCCTGACGTTGTCTGCCATTAAAGAACAGACTTTAGAAACAGTGAAATGAAATAATGTGTATGACAATGAAAACCTGAACTAATTTACTTTTAGAGCTTTTTAAAGCCCTGAAATATAGACTTTTTTGAGTATTCATTACTATCCATCCAAGAGGGAAGAGACCAGCATTTTCTATAGGATTTCATTCCTGATTTCTCAGACAGTGACAGAAGAATGAAGTTTCTTGTATTAATAATATGACACCCCAAAAGGGTTGGGAACTTCTGTAATAGCCCTAATGTGTTTTGCATAAGAGCACCAAGTCTTGGAATTCAAATTCCTGGGTTCAGTATTACCAAACCGTAGTAAGTCTATAGATGGCGAAGGAGGCCTACTAGAAACAGCAGATTTCACTGTGTGTCAATGACCAAGTAAAAGAAGCACCTTTCAACTCAGACAAGTGTTAAACTGAACAGAATGCAGTGAGGCAGAACTCAGACAGAATAACTTTTCGAATAGGAGGACATCTAATTTCTTACGTTCTGTTAATTATAATAATTTCTCTAACCTGCATATATCTTATATACACACATTTGCCTCTGCATCATCAGCTACACTTCCAAGAACGTTAAATCTCTGGTTGTGAAGGCTTAAAAGAATGTGTCCCAGAGTTCGTGACGCAACCTCATTTAATAGGAAATAGACTTAGATGCCTGCTACTACGCAGTTCCCCCGCCTGTGGAGTTATGCAGCATGTGCGCATGGTGGCCTGGTAAGCAGGTGAACAGTGTGCGTCTAATGGGGCGTGAATCAGCACCGTCAATGGCAAATCTTCCCCTCTTCCTTCAGCAACGCCCTGGTGCACTGTGATTGTGACTACTTTCTTCCACTATTTCGTGCCTCTCATGGGGAGTGAATCAGCACCATCAATGGCAAATCTTCCCCTCCTCCTTCAGCAATGCCCTGGTGTGCACTGCTTTACTGAGAGTTTACTGCCTTCCTCCTTGGAAGCCTGCCCACTTGCTGAAATTACTTCCTACTGGGATGGTCCCATTGCTCTGACTGAGGATGTCAGATTGCTGCTCAGGCGAGAGTTAACTGAGAGTTTACTACCTTCCTCCTTGGAAGCCTGCCCACTTGCTGAAATTACTTCCTACTGGGATGGTCCCATTGCTCTGACTGAGGATGTCAGATTGCTGCTCAGGCGAGAGTTAAAATGTTCCCCCCTTCCCCTAAGCACTTCTACTTCATTTTACCCTCAGCCACCTTCTCCAGACTTCTCATTGGCCCGCCCCCCTTTGATGAGCCTGATTCCCTGTCCGAGAACAGGCTCCCTCTTGCCCCTTCATGCTCTGTCTCCACTATCAGCAGCTCTGCAACGCTGGTGTCTTGCCTCATCTGAAAATATGGCTCTCTTCCTTTTTGCCCTAACGAATAGCTGAAGATTAAATTCCACATAGACCTTTTATTAAATAGTTTAAAAATATGGGTGGTTTCTGTATGCATTTTTTTAAAATTAATTTCATATGCGCTTGCTGGCAACATTTCTTGGATCAGAAAGATTGTGGAAACTTGCGGATTATTCCTTGCGATTCTTTGGGCTGCACCCTGGCCTGAGTAATGGGTTTAAGACCCATTGAAATGCGGGATAGAGTTTGGTAGGTCTGGACCAGCAGGGTCCAAAGCACAGCCCATGTAGCCTACAAACATATGTCTGACATGGAGGTCTCTGCAGGCAGTCCCCAGTCTTGATCCAAGCCTAACTATGAATCTCAGGGCACAGTTTTCGTTCTCTGTCGACCACACCCCTGTAATAAAGGGTGACTGCAAACTGCTGCATATTTGACCCTCCAGCATCTAGTAGGTTTCCAATTAGACTGTCACCTGAGCACTGTTGAGGTGCCTATTCATGGTTCTTCCTACCAATCTGCACACAAGCCCCTTCTCAGTTTAGTTGGATCTTTTTATTTTTAACATGAGGGACTGCTCAGGAGAGCTAAGACCAAAGCAGACTGTGAAGAGCTTCGAAAGGATCTCACCAAACTAAGTGATTGGGCAACAAAATGGCAAATGAAATTTAATCTTGATAAATGCAAAGTAATAAGCATTGGAAAAAATTATCCCAACTCTGTATACAATATGATGGGGACTAATGTAGCTACAACTACTCAAGACAGAGATCATGGAGCCATTGTGGATAGTCCTCTGAAAACATCCACTCAATGTGCAGCAGCAGTCCCCCCACTCAATGTGCAGCAGCATAAAAAAAGCACAAACAATGTTAGTAATCATTAAAAAAGGGATAGAGAATAATACAGATATCTTATTGCCTCTATATAAAACCACGGTTTGCCCACATCTTGAATACTGTGTACAGATGTGGTCGTCTAATTTCGAAAAGGATATATTGGCATTGGAAAAGGTTCAGAAAAGGGCAACAAAAATGATTAGGTGATTGGAACAGGTGCCATATGAAAAGAGATTAAAAAGACTGGGACTTTTCAGCTTAGAAAAGAGAACACTAAGGCG